TCAAGTGGTAGAGCGCTAGCCTTGAGCTGAAGAGCTGAGGGACAGCGCCCAGGCCCAGAGTTCAGGCCCCACGACTTGACCCCCCCCCAAAAAAAAGAAAATGTTAACGCTTTTCTATTCCAAATTACTTATTTCATATACACACAAATTAACTAATCTTTCATATTCTATATGGGACAGTCTTGTCTCCTATTCTTACAAAGATAAAACTGGCAAGTGAGAATAGACAACAGATTACTTTCATCAGCACTACAAATTATAGACCCAAATGCTAAGTGTTTTGTAGTTTCTGCATACAGACATTCTTGTAATTTTTCATACAGTACTTTTCAAACATATATGGGAAATTATAAGCTAGTCAAATTTCTGTGTGCTTTCTGAGACCAGGTTCCTGTATGTAGCATCATGCTGGCCTTGAATTTAAGATTCTCCTGCTTCTGCTTCCCCAGAGCCAGATTTACAGGTGTGTGCCCACCATGACTACCTTTAAGCTTCTAAAATATTTTTAATTAAAATTTCACATTAAAAAATTAACTTCAGAATTTGTTTCTCTCAAAAAGAAAACCCTATATAAAGCAGGGAACAGACAGCCTTAAAAGACTGAAATCAAACCAGATGCCAGCTCACGCCTATAATCCTAGCTACTCTCCTAGATCTGAGGATCATGCTTCAAAGCCACCCAGGGCAGGAAAATCCATGAGACTCAGGTCTCCAATTAACCACCAGAAAACCAAAAGTTGGGCTGTGGCTCAAATGGTGGAGTGCTTACCTTGAGCTGAAGAGCTCAGAGACAGAGCCCAGGCTTAGAGTTCAAGCCCCACAACCAACCATAAAAAAAGATTGAAATCAATTATAAAAAGAGTGACCATTTAAAAAAAACGTAAAAGGGGTAAGTGGAGAGGGAAGAAAAGGAGAAGAAGCTGGGTGATGGTGGCTCACATCTGTAATCCTAGCTACTTAAGAGGCTGAGATCTAAGAATCGTGGTTCAAAGCCAGTGTGGACAAGAAAGTCTTAGACTCTTCGGAAAAGGTCAGATAATGTGATGTCAGGAAAATGAACCCTTAGACATGTATTTTAATGTTTTTTCTTTGATGCATGTGTTTCTAATGCATTTATAAGACTATCTCTTTGTTGCTTTGTATGTCCCTCCCCCACAGTATAACCCCTGCTTTCACTATATTTGATGTCAGTATAACTTGTGGAGGAGAGGGGAAAAAACAGTTGTTTAAGGATACAGGTGGACCTGATGCAACAACGAGAAGTATAAGTTGTCATGTCCAAAATGAGCTTTACAACGTCGGTCGGGGGGGGGGGGGGGGGGGAGGGGGGGGGGGGGGGGGGTGGGGGTGGGGGGGGGGAGGGGGGAGGCTGGGAAGGGATGTGAAGGGTAAACCAAAGGAGGAGGCTGCAATGCTTGGTAAGAAATGTACGCATTATCCTGCCCATGTAATTGTAACCCCTCTGTACAGTATGTTCACAAATAAAAAATAAATAAATAAATTTAAAAAAAAAGAAAGTCTTAGACTCTTAACTCCAATTAACCACCAGAAAACCAGAAGTTGGGCTGTGGCTCAAAGTGATAGAGTGCTACCCTTGAGCAAAAGATCTTAGGGACAGCACCCAGGCCTAGAACACCCAGCCTCACAACTAACAAAAAGAATAAAATTTAAAAAAGAGAAGAAATGCACCATTCAAACCTAGCTTAAATAAATAGTAGTACTATAGACTCTGGCTGGGAATGTGCTTGCTTGCCATGCACGAAGTCCCGGGTTCAATTCCTCAGTACCACATAAACAGGAAAGGCTAGGAATGGCGGTGTGGCCTCAAGTGGTAGAGTACTAGCCTTGAGCAAAAGAATCTCAGGGACAGTGCCCAGGCCCAGAGTTCAAGCTCAGGACTGGCAAAAAAAAAAAATAATAATAAATCTAGATTATAACATAAGAGGACTTCAGACTTAACTAACACATCTCTATACATGTACTTTGTATCATAAAAATAGAGGATTATGGGTTGGGAAGGTGGCTCAGTGGTAGAGCACTTGCCTTGCATGCCTGAGGCCCTGGGTTCCATTCCTCAGCACCACATAAGCAAAAAGAAAAAAGCCAGAAGTAGCGCTGTGGGATCAAGTGGTAGAGCGCTAGCCTTGAGCTGAAGAGCTGAGGGACAGCGCCCAGGCCCAGAGTTCAACCCCCACAACCAACCAAAAAAAAAAAAGAAGAATGCCAAAACAGCTGGTATGGTGATACATGCCTAGAGACCTAGCTAATTGGGAATCTGAGGCAGGACAATCACCATTTCAAGGCCAGCTTGAGCAATAGAAAATAGACAAACAACCCAACTAAATGAAGGTAAAGAAAAAAAATCAAATAGCTTAAGTTAGATGTACAGAAAAAATAAGGACAATAAAAGCTACTTCTAGATTTCTTTTCTTTTCTTTTAGGTGCATCTATTTCATGAATTAAATAAATAAATCTTCAATGAAACTATCTATAAGAAAAATACTAGTGGGCTAGGAAGGTGGCTCAGAGGTAGAGTGCTTGCCTTGCATGCCTGAGACCCTGGGTTCGATTCCTCAGCACCACATAAGCAAAAAGAAAAAAGCTGGAAGTGGCACTGTGGCTCAAGGAGTAGAGCACTAACCTTGAGCTGAAGAGCTGAGGGATAGCGCCCAGGTCCAGAGTTCAGGCCCCACGACCGGACCCCATAAAAAAAAAGAAAAATACTAGCTGGTCACCGGTGGATCATGCCTGTAATCCTAGCTACTCAGGAGGCTGAGATCTGAGGATCACAGTTCAAAGCTAGCCAGGGAGGAAAATCTGTGAGACTCTTACCACCAATAAACTACCAGGAAACCATAGAGGTGCTGTGGCTCAAGTGGTAGAACACTAACCTTGAGTTGAAGAGGTCAGGGACAGCACCCTGGCCCAGAGTTCAAGCCCCATGACCAAAAAACAAAAGATCCAATACCAACAAAAAAGTATCCAGGTGGTATATACCTGTAATCCTAGCACTTACAAGTAAGAGGAATCAGGACTGTGAGCTCAACACTAGCCTAAGCTTTATAGTTAAAAGAAATTTTTCGGGGCTGGGAAGGTGGCTCAGTGGTAGAGTGCTTGCCTTGCATGCATGAGGCCCTGGGTTCGATTTCTCCGTACCACATAAGCAGAAAAAGTTGGAACTGGCGCTGTGGCTCAAGTGGTAGAGCGCTAGCCTTGAGCTGTAGAGCTGAAGGACAGAGCCCAGGCCCAGCAATCAGGCCCCACAACCGAAAAAGACAAACAAAAAAAATTTTTTTTGCCTCAAAAAATTATTTTTTTTAATATGGAATGCTTCACAAATTTTTATGTCATCCTTATGTAGGGGCCATGTTAATCTTCTCTGTATGATTCCAATTTTAGTATATGTACTGCTGAAGTAAGCACAAAAAATTATTTTTAAAGCCAAAATAATACATGTACTTTTGTCCATAATATTCACAAACTTTGTGAAAAAGCAAAAAAAAAAAAAGATATCTAAGACATGCATTCTGATCTAAGCTAAGTTGACTATAGCACGTTAAAAGCATTTTGGAGCTGGGATACAGAAGGCTAGGAATTATAATATACAAATATCACCTCAGAAATCTGTGAGGTGTTGAAGCAGACACAGAAGGGCCAAACCAATAAACCATTGAGCATCATTACAGTAACCACCTATAGATCTTATTCAACTCACCTCACACAACATTCCACTGCACGAAACCAGTGGAGCATCTCATCATGAAGGGTACACAATTGAAGGCAAGACAGAAATACTTTCTCAGCATCACTGTACCAACCTGCATCTGAAAGAAAACCACCTGAAGAACAAGAAAAAACAGTAACATTAGATAATTTACACAAATTGTGGGGGCTGGGAAGGTGGCTCAGTGGTAGAGTGCTTGCCTTGCATGAGGCCCTGGGTTCAAATTCCTCAGCACCACATAAGCAAAAAGAAAAAAAGCCAGAAGTGGCGCTGTGGCTCAAGTAGTAGAATGCTAGCCTTGAGCTGAAGAGCTGAGGGACAGCGCCCAGGCCCAGAGTTCA